ATATCGCGTGCAAAACAAGACGATACTTATATTGCTGCGCGCTGTATAATTGCATTTGCGTAGCAGGCAAGGGGGTTCATAACCATTTTTCTTTGATAATGAAATTAAATAAAAAGGTTATTTTTTCGTTTTTCGTGAAATATGGTATATATTTTCACTCAACATGATAAAATGCTTCATATTTTCACTCGCCGTCCCGGCTCGCGAAAATATGTGGCATTTTATCATGTTTCGTGAAAATATATTCCATATTTCACTGAAACGAAAAAATATCCTCTTAGTATCTGACAGTAACTTAACTTTAATTAATCATATTTTTAAAGGGACGGTACAAAATATAAACATACACCAAGTTGTTTTGTTCAAAAGCCAGGCACGCCATAATTGATTTTCTCTTTGCTGTGTCATATATTAGCATATTTTTAGTAAGTTTTACCTTCAATCCTAGACAAATCATTTTACTATGTAGCTGGATGCAGACATATCTAAATTGAAAGAATGGCAAAGTGTCAATGTCTATAGATTAACACTTTAACATGACGGCCTATTTTGAAATAATTGAATATATAACGTCTTGAAGTGAACTGTACTGCTTATAATGTTAATTTCGTTAAATACAACAAAAGGGCAGTAGTGTGGTAACATCTGCAATAATTCTATCTTGAATTGAATCTTCTTATCATCATTACCTACTTGACCAAGACGTTTTATTGCACAAATTCGGTCAGAACGACAATAATTTATCTAATTTTCTTTTATATGGGGGCTATTCGTTGCCAAAAATCCAGCCTTGTTGATCTGAGTTGAACAGTTTGTCTACGGACAAAATACAATTGTATTTCTTTGCATGTAAACTCCATTTTTGCATTATCAGATTGAGTATGCTGATTAAACATTGTAAACATGTATTTCAACAAAACAACATATTTTAACGGCAATACATTTACTGTTTTTCTGATAGTAGCAATAAGAAATATTCATCATAACATGCGAAATACTCATTATTCGTGTATACGCCGACAAAACAGAAGTTACTTTCTTAGCTTTACATTGTCAAACCATCATGGTTCGGATCGGCATAATCCAGGTTTACAGTTTTTCAATATGAGATAAAATAAGCTCCGCTCATATTTCCGCCCACTACATCATCGTTTATAAACGTATTTATCCGCTCATTTTCGGTATTTACCGTCAGCGACAAGAGGAAAACAAAAATACGCACCGGCGTAGTTTCCGTTTCACTTGCATATTTGCCATTCTATTCCTTTATTCAATCAACATCAGCGGACTTTAAATGATTATAAGCATACAAGTTTTGACACGTTGTATATACCACATTTCCTAGAAAAAGAAACTAAAAAAAAGCTTACCAGGTTTCTTATTCTCGGAGGTTAAACAGTTTGCATGGAAGTAAAAACTATTGATAAGACTATATTCAACAAAAGCTAAATGTTACTGTGGGGTTCCATTTTGCATACGAATGAGTAACATGAGTGACAGTTAAGCTACCTTACCACTTTCATACTTTTAAGTCAACATAAGATTGAGGTTTTGATACGACTAAATACTAATGCAGACCAAATTATCTACACATATATTCAAATACGTTTTTATATACGTGTCAACTTTTTTTTCTCAACACCAAGCAATCATCGAATTTTGCAAATTTATTACACAAAAATAGACGAAGATATCATTTGATGTGACATAAACAGATACAACTTGAACATATAAACATGACATGCCAAAGGATTAAGTGCCTGTAGGACAGTTTCACATGTTAATTTATGTCTACGGTTTTATTATCATTTTGATTTCAACGAAATCACTATCTTATTTATAAGCACAGTAATAACAAAAGCGAAACATATGTTTAAGCACGCATTAAGGGTATTAATGAAACATTTTTTTATTACGAGACGATAAAGATGTATTCAAATCCTCTTATGATTCATATCAAATCGCGACAAAGTCATAATACATTTTAACTACAAGTGTGTCTTCACACGACACAATAATCATTATCTAACAAACGCATTATTTTAAGGCAATGAGGTTGAGACTATAGCAAGACTAAGAATATAATCATTTAAGTATATAGTTTGAGTTCTCTTGGTCACTGTTAACATTTTAAATCGACATATCAACTGTTTTTAATACTTCTTTAAATGAGTGTTGCTTCATCAAATGTAATGATATGTTGAACTGTTCTTTATCAGATTATCTTTTAAGGTTAATGATTAAATGTGTTTTTTTATAATAAAAATGGACAATGCAGTATCAACGTAATATAACTATTGCCTATGAATGACAGTGCGTATATGAACATATTGTTTGCTGCACGACGGTAACATTTTACAATTTAACTCTTAAATCTTCTCATAAGTATGACTATTTGACCTAGCTTACTATCATTTTAAAAACTGGTCAGCACAACAATAACTTTATCGGATGTTTGTTTACTCGATGGAATCTATTTAAATTTGAGAAAGTATCAATAAGGTATCAATACAATCGTGTGAATGGCGGTGACATACTCGTTTTTTGAATCAAACACCGGAAATATCGCCTTTCAAATATTGTTTGAGTATCCAATATTTCGCATGACTACGTTTGTTAAATAGTTGTTTCATATTCAATTATTTTATCTTACATCCTATCTATTTAGATCAACACTATTATACCATCTATTTTCAGTGCCCAACGGCTAAGTTGAACTTCAATATGACGAGACCCTATATAAACATATAGAAAATTAAAGAGATCTAAGCAGACGAAATCATCATTTAAAAATGTTGTGTACGCAGGTCACCAATTTATCAAACATGTTTTGTAAGACATGATGTATTTGCATATTGTATATTTATGTCAAATTCAAATAACTAACGAAGTCAAATTAATGCAGGTTTTTTTAATTGTATACACATTTGTAAAGTGTATTTTGTGATATAACGGCGACATCAGTTGAGACACAGCTTATATTTTGTATTCTATAGTAAGTTCAACTGCTAAACATACATACAATAGATTAACATTATATTTCAAGTAGTACATAAATATCTGCTCGTAATGTATATTTATTGCAAGACAAAATTACTTATTTATTCCACAAATACTGTATGTAACACAAGGAATATAATTAGTCAGTTTGTACCTGTTTATAACAGGTTGATGTCGGTAACAGTTTTATTTTCCTAATGCCAAAGGCTAACAATAGAGATGCTGTCGTGTATTATACAATGTCAACATAAATTATCTTAATGAAACGTTTTAATTATCTTGTGATATACTATCGAGTTTCCGTTTTAATAATGTCGATGGGTAAACGAGTTTAGCTTACTAACTTAACTCTATATTTATAATGAATTTGAAAACACAAACTAAAGTGAAACATGGAATAGAATTGTCATTTTAATCACCAATTATTTTATGTTAAATGTCTGTCATATACTCTGTCAAATATGTTGACCTTAGTTGACGTATCTTAATAAAACAATGTAAAATGATATGTGTATTTATTAATTTATGTTTTTCTTACTCTTTAGATACGGGTAATGCTGTATTAATTTGAATTTCAAATGATGTCTGACTTTGAAGCGGATGCCGTATTTTACCATCATATCGTTTGTTGTAACAAATACAATTATATTTGGTGAGAACATGCATATTTTAAGAACCAATTATTAAACATGATAACAATTTGGTCTTCTCATTATATGTAAATCAAAGTTACCAAAAGTTATCTATCTATAAACATAATCATATAAGTCAGACACACAATGTATCAATAAGGCATTTTGAATTACTGAACAATAAACATAATTATATAAGATTGATACATGCAATTTGTTTTCATTTTTTAAAAAAGGTAAAAAGGTCAACTGCAGCACAAAAAACAACAAAATACAAACAAACATGAAAATAAAGAAAGAAAACTATATCGGAATCAATCATTTCTGAATGACAAGTTTGTATTATCTGACATAGTAAATATACTAGGGTTTATTTTTTTAACTCTGCTTTTTGTCATACAGCACATATTTCAATAAAAGTGAAAACAAGAAAACAATCTATTAAATTTTCTATTTATTAAACAAGACAAAATGCACTAGAATCATGCGTAAAGTCTTCCAATGTAGTTTTCTTCTTATTTGAGAAAATAAGTAAAACTGTTAAATAGGGTAAATTGAGAACAAACTGTGAAATATGGTAATTGAAAAAGGAGAACAAACCTATACCCAATAATAACATTAGTACAATACTTGCAACGGATATAATTTTAAATAGTAAAACATGCGTTACGCCCAAAATATATACAAAATATCGTTAGATAACGTTTAATCTAGAGTACTCGTTAGAACTTCATTACAGGATAAAATAGCAAATAAATATTTGATAATTTATCCATAATTATTTTCATTGAAATATGTCTGAGACCGGTAAAATTTAATCCCAGAAAATAAAATTAATTAATGTTTTTTCTTAAATAATTTGATTTGCAGTTTGTGACTTTGTATTTATAGATAAAAAATCCATGCATCAATTTATAATATACTCGTGCCGCTTTTGCAACACAGTAAACGGAATTGGACGGTCATGCGTATATTTCGTCAGTACATCATTTGTCTCATACGAATGTATCGTGAGAACGCGCGAAATGTTAGCGTATACATATATAAAGACAAGGCTGAAGACCTTTGTTAAGTTTACCTCTTAACAACAGCATTATCATTGTATCATTGTATTGTTCCCACAGTAAGAAGTCATAATGAATTTACTGCTGTCGCTTTGAAGTTTTGCAATCAGTTTTGTGTAAAATTATGTTTCTTGTATGTGTATCAAGCTGTCTCCTTTTTTCAAACTCTGTTTGGCTTTTATGACAGTTTTGTACGGAATTCCATAAACGACAGCCAGCTGCTTACTACCTACTGTTTACTGCCTACTGTTTAATGTTTCCTGCCTACGGCGTACTACGTGTATTTTTGTCATGGCCAATTGCCTACTGCCTACTGCTTACTGCCTACTGTTTAATGCTTCCTGCCTACGGCGTGCTACGTTGTCGCTGATATGGCATGTAAAAGCGAAAGGGTTCCGAATTCTGTAAGACACATGTTGGCGGGAAGTGTCAGACGACAAACAGACAAAATCGCTATTGTGGTTCAAGGAGGTAAGTTGATTTATAAATAACAATTAATGTGTATATCCTATGATCTAGTTAGATTGTTTTGAAGCACAAGACGTTTCAGCTCAAACCATCCTGGCGAAAATTTAAAAATATGTCGACCCTTTCTATAATGTTTGAATATGTAACTGTTGAAATCATATAAATACCTTCCCAATGGACTATACATGATTTTTGGCAATATATTGGCCCCTTTCAAGGTCGGACGGATGTAGATTCGGGGTTGTCTGAGCTAACGTTTGTCTTTGCCAAGGCTCGTTCGCAATGGAACCAATCACTGCAGGTTGGAATTTCCCTTTCGTTAAGCTTTATTACCCAGGAAAAGATTATATCAGTCTTCATGCTTGGTATGCTCCATTTTGTGGGTATTGAATTATAATAATGCTATGAGATACATATTAAATCAATCAAATGATTAGTATCATTCGGAGGTGGGGTATCAATTTAAAGAATTTGTTTGATTTATATAAATGTCATGCTGTTAGTGCATATGTGTAAGTCTGAACATATATTTCTTTATTTATTAGATCAAGTATGGAAAGACTAGATATCACACAAATTGGCGAATGGTTGAAAGAAAATGGCCTGGGAGTATATGAAACAAAATTTGCAGGTAAATTATCTTATTGTCATTAAGATTCTAATTTCACTTGTAAAATGGTATCCTTTAAAAAACCTGATAAGATAAGTTAGGAGAAAAATGAATTGCGTATTGGTATAACAATATACTTATAACCCAGAGGCTAAACCGTTTAAACTCTCAGCGGAAGTGAGAATCTCTATTTTTTTCAATATGCGAAGGTCTTACATTAGAGGACGAAAAAAATTACCTTCTGTCAGATAAACAGATAAAATCCAGTGTCAATCCTGTGGTAAACGTTTGACTTTCACTCTGAATATATATAAAGGAATTTATAGAACTGTCCATATCATAACTTGTGTTCAGTGTTTTTTAAATCATTAATTTACAGAGGAACAGATAGATGGGATGGGACTGCTTGGATTGAACGAAAATGACCTGGAGAGCCTTATACCCCAAAGAGGACCAAGGGCCAAATTACGTTTCTTGTTAACGAAACAAAAGGTTTGTTGGTACTTTGACACTTTGGGTCACTCCAGCTTTAAATTAAAGTGATTTTAAGCCAATCGAAGGGTGTATAGTGAGTGAACAAGTGAAAGTCAAAATAAGTTTTACTTTGAATGAATAATTAAAAATGCTCATGACTAAATAACAAATGTCTGTAAATACCATAACAACTCTTAATTAACTGTTGCTTTCAATTTGTAAAGATATCAAACATCGGTCAATCACAATTATGATAGTCAATCTTTCAAAAAAAAAATGGTTACGAATTTAAGGATGTTAATAAAGTAATATCCCTCGAACATTGTTTATATATCCAACACTTTTAGAAGTGTACAATTTACTGCCTATATACGATCAATTCATGCAATAACATAAGTATGATAAAGCTATCTTATGTTGCAGGATAGCGAAGTTTCAAGTCAGACGTATCCAGGAATATCTGGTAGTTGCCAAGGTAAATTTGATTTCACGTTTTTGCCTATAGTTCATTTGTTAACCTGATTAGAAGACCCTAACTTAAATATTTGGCAAGTAGAATAACCCATTGGCATGTTAACTTGATAACATGTGCATAATACTTTGACAAGTTAATATGTTGTTAGCACAAGTCATCATGATTCTTTAACAAGTTAACATGCTCTTTGCACATGTCATCACGATAATTTGACAAGTTAACATGCCGCTTGCATATGTCATTTTCAAATTACTGTTGCAGTCGGTGTTTAATTAGTTTTGATAGATGAATAAGGTAAATGTCTTCACACGTGTTGAAAAGCTTATGAAATATATCTGTTATCAAACGTTACTACTGTAACACATTCGTTTCGTTATTTCAATGGAGATTTACATATTAACATACATATATAATACATTCAAGATATAAGCAAGACAATGTAACAATAAGTCTTCTCCTTATTTCTTCTCCTAATTTTGTTTTGTCACTTACAGATGATGCCATTTCTCTAGATAAATCAGTGTCTTCCGTCAAAGAGAAACTAAATCTCATTAGAAAACGGCGCTTGGAAAGATGTTCTATGCAGGTAAGCCAAAACTACCGTTGATTATCATCTGTAGTTAAAGTAGAGACATATCTTAATCCATTACCATATAAACACAACTTTTAACGCCTTTTTCATCTCCCCTTTTGATGTCTCAAATGGTGAAAAAATGCCTTATCGAGGTCCCGACACTTGTTTTAAATGCCTTATCGAGACCTCGACACCTGTTGTTTTTTTGTTAAAAAAGTGATTACTTTTTCGGCGCCGCCACTACCAAAAAGACAAATAAGGGGGTGCCAGAGGGGGTGTCCCAACTAGATGTTTGAATGGGGGCTGCCGCACCCTCATCTAAAAGAAAAGTTAGGACTTGTGAGAGGCTAAAAATGACCTCAGGTCGTTTATAAGGTAACGTGTAAGCAACTTTGAAAATCCTTTAACTCTATCTCAATCCCTAGAGAAGTTGCAGCACTTTGAAATCAGTTTTGATGGAAAAAATTAACACACAATACTTATTTTGGGCAATTTTGAGATGTCCCTTGTTGCCATGGTAAAGGAAATTTAAGACTGAGCATGCCGTTACAAAGGCAATGGTCCAGTTAATACTTGTGCCAAGTTTGATTAGTATAAAAGCAATTTTTATAGTTTCATAGCAATTGCATCTTAATTGTAACGGGATACTTTTCAATGAAAACAGCCTTTTTAAAAAAAAATGCTCAAGAGCGGTATTGGGTTTAAAACAAACTATTTGATCCGTGATGATAGTGAGCGTTAATGTATGAAGGTCAATGAATTTGTTTTCGGAGCATTATGTAATTTGTTGCTTCATATAATGAAAAATATTTGTTTTTAAAGTAATATATGTGTATTCAGTGGTAACCTAAATCGAAAATATATGTACTTTGTTTGTAAATCTGTATTGTATGTACATAACTGTCTGTTTCAATAATTATCCAATTTGCCATATATTATATTCCATTTAAAAAGTCAATAAAATGTTTAAATTATTTTATAGACTGGAGAATCCCTTGGATTGAAACGACCTAGAAAAGACACATATAAGATAACATTCGGCTGGTTAAAGAAAGTCGGGAGCAAGTATCGATATGTTATGCCCAGGAAGGGAGGTGGTGCCAAAAAGGCAGATGTGCCACGTGCTGCAAATTACATGGAAATGTGTAATATTGCGCGCAGCCTCTTTTCTATAGCAGAAAGAGATCATTGTTACCTTGGCAATTTCAATGGCGAGCCAGTTTCGACAAGTATTATGTGTGAGGATTTCGTAAAAAGCAGTAACTTTGTTACTCTCCCCAGACTTTACATTGTAACAGTTGTGCCTCAGACATTAAGCAGGTAAAATAAATCAACAATTAAATAGAGGATATTTGTTTGTTTTGCATGTGAGATTGAAATATAATTTCACTGAGTGAACACCAGATGCAATATGTTCACGAGTGGCGTAGCCACGAGTGAAAATATTATAGCTGGTGTTCACGAATGTAATATATTTCAATCTTATATGTAAAACAAATAAATTTTCTTTTATTTCATGCTTTTTAAGTGATTTTAAGTATTTTTACTGATTTTGCCGCGTACCGTCGCGCATTCTCCTTTGTGACGTCATCACATCATGACGTCACATCATCAATTTTGAAAATATAGTTCTGTTAAATTTCTCTAATTTTGTTACATTTTTAACATGATGTATGGGAAAGTCGACTTTCTTTTGCTAAAGAAGCAAAATTTACGTATGACGGCATTTATTTCTGCCTGTTATTCCATTAAGTTACGATTTTCTTTTCATCCGCATTCAGATATAGTCCGGCTACAGTGAAAATTATCGAATATTAATGTATTGTTTGCATTGACCGTATAGTCAGTATGCAATTAATAGGTTGATGAATCAAACAATAATATTTACTGTCAAGAATTATTACCACAAATCACACTTTTCAAAAATTTTTGCTAAATCTCAAATAAATACTTGCACTGTGGGCAGACAATATTTTCTTTATTTTTACTGCTGTAGGTCAATGTTAAATTCCACATATCATAGTTTCTAAGTCGATTTTTGGAAACAAATTTTATTTCATTCTAAATGAAACATATATAAGGTTGATTATAATGACAATATAATATGACAAAATATTTAATGATTGCTAACAGTTACTACTTGTTAAAATTCTTATTCTGTAAATCTAGCGGTATTAGTATAGGTATTATTGCCATCACATTTGAGGTAAATGAGCGAAAGATAAAGGTCATTGTATAACCATTCTCCATCTGTCCTTCAGTTTGACATTTTTTTCACATTTTTGTATTTAGTTCGTAACGCCTTAAACCCTTAAGAAATAATTATGATAACTTTTTTTAAGAATTAGAGATAGATTTCATTAGTTTTGGCCCTTGTTTTACCACTGAAATAGTCAAAATATGCTGATTTGTACTTATTGAACATAAAAAAATTTATTTCTAATAACTACGCTTATTTTATATTTAACAGTGATAATGACATAGATGCACGGCGCTCACTTTCTCCCCCTTGCTTGACCCCTCAGAAACTTGTAGATGTACTTACGGCCCAGAAGTTGGATAATTCTAAAACTGAAATTATGGCTCCAGAGGTAGACAACAATGAAAATGTAATTGTTGTTGTAGAAGAAGAAGCAGAAAAGAATGCTGAACTTGGAGATTGTTGTGTAATCAAAAGGCAAGTTTCAATGGAAGAAGTCCATGAGTATATAGAGCAAATTGTTTCCGAAGAAGAATATAATCCAGGAGAAAATGAAAGTTTTCGCCTGGCAGGTGAAAATGATACCCCAGTACAGATGAGAAATACTTCCGTTATGTATTTTATTGACTTGATGAAGCAGAATGGAAAACAGTACAAAGTTGTTGATTCTGGCTGGGGACCGTTTGTTATACTGCCAAATGAGGATCTTTGCTCTTTCTTTTCATTAAGAGATGGATTTGATATGGACAGTTCAGCACTTATTTGTCCACCGGTTTTGTATTTTCTGGCATTGAATAACATTCCATTTCAGCATATATCCGAAAATGTTATCAAAGTAGATGATGATGTACTTCAAAAATATCACACATGGCTTGAAGAAATGAAAATCTCGTTAAAAATGTTAAATAAATAAGAATGATGCTATTTTTAGAATTGGGTAATGGTACATGTACTATAACATAAACATTATCTTAAACAAGGATTTTGACATGAACATAGATTATGGTATTGTCAGATTATGATATGAAAATGGACTATGACATGACCATAGACTTTGAAGTTCTGGTGACTTAAAACGACCCTTTTTCTGTTAGTCATATTTTTTACTTTAGTTTTAATTGCATTGCTGGAACAGTGATCTTTTGTTGTTTTATAATAGCATCTGTATAAAAAATATTCTTATTACCAGATTATATTTGAGCTATTGTTTTGTATAACCATATATAAAATGTATACACATATTCACTTTAATCACCACTTTTATATATTCTGTATCTTTAAGAAGTCTTATTGAGAGGTGATATCTATAATTTTATTTACATTGTATTTTTTCTGTTTATTATAAAATGATGCGGAAAGGGAATTTCGCAACTTTAAGGTTACAAACTTTATTCAATTAATGATACAACATGTACTTCTTTTTTAAAATGCTGCTATTTAAAAGCCTCATGCTTATTGTGTAAAAATAACAAACACCAGCATACGTAAATGATAAGCAAAAGTGTTTGCAAATTAAACACACCGTATTCAATCATTTGTAAAGATTGCAAATATACCACCTAGTAAATATACTATATTAAGTATATATATGAAGTGTATTTAAAAAAACAGTTCTTTCTAGAGATCTGACATTAATTTGAAGTGTTTACCGGTCATCTATTTCTATTCAATGAATGCTAATACAAAAAAAATATTTAAGCCTTTTAAATGTGTTATCATTATCAGGATGGTCCCTTATTGGGGCATGGCAGTGTAAAAGTTTCTTTAAATAAAAAGTTTTATTGAAATTAAAAATATTGATTTCCTAGTTCCTAGTTTATTTATTTATCTTGCGTGATGTTATGGTGAAAATTGATGGAATTTGAAAAGAAAAGAAATGTCCATATTACATGTACATGTATTCTCAATTGAAAATTTCCAACAAATGGTCGATTTATGTTGGTTGAAAGCTAAGTTTATTTCTTGTGTATATGGTCCATATGTAACATAGTATTATCTAAATCGGAAAAACCCGATTACTATAATTCCATTAACTCGTATAACCTTTCAAACAAAATCATTGCATCGTCAAGAGTGGAAGGTAGTTGAAGATTATGCAACAACATCAGTTCCAGGGCGATTTCTGAAAATTCATCTGAAGCTCCCATTTCTGGTAAATTAATTGAAAATATTTCTTGACAATTATTTAACAAGTTACGGTCAACCGGTTTACTCTGGTCTTGTGCACCATATTCTTCAGGACAATCATACAGAAACGATGGACGCCCAACAATACATTGATTAGTCTGTTTTCTTATCCTATGGTCATTCCATGTCTCCAAAACTAGCTGTAGCTCAGACTGTATCACAGGCATAAAACAAAATCTCAGACATTCAATGTGGAAGGCATTACTGAGATTTAAAATACCACATGCCACCATGTCTTTGAATAGATCTTGATATGTCTTTGTATAAGTCATGCCTAAGTAACTCCAAAATCTTTCAATCCTTTCGTTGTGAACTGACTTTCCAATTATTACGCAATTTGTGACAAGTTCATCATCTCGCTCTTGTCGAAGTAGCGCATGAACATCTGCCATAGCAACGTTTTCTGTGCCAGCGTCTAATCTTAGACTATGTGGAATTATGCCAAGTTTTCTTACTGCTTTCAAGTAATATGTGCACACAACATTAGGGTCATTGTTTGTACGGCCTACCACCAACCAAACTAGTTTTCTAGACCATCCGTCAATAGCTCCATGTAAACAAAACCCGAATTGTTTCAGCTTATCATAGCCATCACAATGCCATATTTGATTTGGACCTCTGACTGAGTACACTCTTCTCACTAGTCTACCAGTTCGTCTATCAGACAACGCTACAGGTGTTAAGATTTTCAATATGTCATTGACGGTTTGTCTGAAAGAATAAGCATATCATCATTACTATATATTTTATTATATAATTTAAGTATAAAATTTGAATAATCATACTATGGAAATGTAGCAGTACGACTTGTTACTGCCTGACTATATTTGGAACTATCCACTTCAACATTCGGTCAATTTCTTTCATGCAGACATACATTTTGATTTTTCTTCAGAATGTTAAATCTTATTATTTGTTTTGTAATAAACGGATGGGATCCAAAGGTATTCCATTATTTTTATCCAATTAGATGTAAGTACGATGTCTGGAAGAAGTTCCGTATTGCATCTTGTAGGTCTGTACAACAAGGCTGAAGCATTGACTACTAAATCAATTCTCAATTTTAAAGCAGCATGCCTCCAGATTCATGGCAGTTTTCATGACCATTTTGAAAATGTATTTAAAAGAAGTGAACAAAGAAAACAATTTACACCTTGCAAACCGCGCTTACAATTCACGTAAATTACCAAAAAGAGGTTAAAATATACACAAATATCTCTTACTGCGTTAGTAACACAATAGAATTAGAGTACTTGACACTGCAAAATCAGTCATAAATCGCACATAACATGTAAATAATAAATTATTTATTGAATTTTTTTCTTGAGATCTTATTACATTTTTCTAAAGACTGAATTTCTTGATATATTTTGGCTCATCTGGAGGCGTGCAGCTTTAAAGTAAAATGTCTAAGTCTAACTGCTCATTGTCAATAAAATAAATAGTTTATAAATGAAATTTTTTCCTTTTAAAATTTCATTAATGTTTCATTAATAAATTTAGTATTGTTTTAATTGAAAAAAAAAACTTATAATAATTTTTATAAATTATATTAGCTTACAATATACGCACAGTATGTATTAATTTATACAGCTGGTGTGTTAGATTAATACAAATAAGTACTGAAAATATTATAGAAAATAAAGCCAGAAAGAAAAATATGTAGTTTCACAGTTGTGAAAAGGTCTTATCACCTAGAAACTTTTAAATCATATTTTCGTTGAAGTCTATACTGCATAGGTCTTATACCCAAACTAATAAAACTACCTCCTGCAAGTTCATGTTGCTTTGCTGCTATTATGTTATCATATGGTGACTCATTGTCCCTTCTTTTCAAACCAAACTTTTTCAACAATCGTTGGATGTGACGAGCACTACAAAATACAAATCATATTTACTAAATATTACTTCCACACGTATGTGTAAACATAACATGTTCGTATAACTTAGGCCAAGGAAGCATTTTCACAAGGAGTATGGATGTCAGAAAGGTAGATTGGTGTGAGGAACTTATTTTGTAAAACAACTTTTTTGTTGAGCAAATCAAGTTTGGTGAATATGGGTTATAGAACCTCACCCTGGGGGTAGGGGTTAAGTGGGTGTTGAGTGTGACATAAAAAAAGAACTTTGCGATTTCAGGGGACAGGGGTCTCGGGGCTTCCCCCGGATAAAATGAATTTGCAAAATAAATTGTGCTTTCTGGTTCATTTTGTGAAATTTGCTTCCTTTCATAAGGAAATTTCAGACCCATGCAAGGGCTTGAGAAATTATTCTTATCTTTGAAGTTTTAAATACTTGATATTATCTTGAATCTTGCTGTACAATAAATATATCCAAACTCCGATAGAGTTATATTTTCCATGCTTATCATTCTATTTACAATATTTTAATTGTAACATGATAAAAACATAAATAAATCAATGCACTGTTGTCCAGTGCAAGCCTTGACAATGACTGTATTGTAGTATAGATATACAATAAACTAATATTGGTCTTGTCCGCAAATGGGTATCCTACTTACACTTTAAATCCGAGCTACATTGACCAAGTGTAAGATATTGAAAGTAGTTCGTGTATAAATCCTTACCGTGTGAACCGAGAATATTTTTTTTATTTTGAACGATTTTATCAATTTAGCGTGCGACAAATACGACAAATTAGTCAGATTTATTGCCTGCTTCTTCGGTTTGAGTTCGGGAGAAGGTGGGGATGGGGGGGGGGGGCGCGTGAGCGCTGACTCATCAATCAAGTCGACCAAATCAAAGAAGCGTTCAAAGTACCTTGTGATTATCATTTCACAGGAATACTAAATGATTACAACATATCTTTAAAACGCAAGCAGTAGAATTGTATGAATTACCTGTAAAATACTCCATGCTTTTTACCAATCACAGCCTTTATCTCAGATAAACTGTAGTTTTTCGACCAATATTGTCTCAGAAGACCCTCCATTTTTACCTAAACACTAATGACAGAAGGCGGTAATTGATTATTGACTTGAAGGCATTAAGCAGTGGGCAGTAAACAGTGGGTAGTACATATTATAAAATTAGCAGTAGGCTTTAAGCAGTAGGCTGTTAGCAGTTTGCAATTAACAGTAAGCAGTAGGCAGCTGGCTGTCGTTTATGGAATTCCGTAGTTTCGAGATATACGGTTACCACGCAAACTGCCATTTTACAAATTAATCCAAAACGTTAACTTATATATTATTTTTTTAATTATTCATTAAATTTTACTCAACAAACAACAAAATTAGAAAATTATATGAAAGACTTTCTTCGATATGTTTAATTATTTACAGATTTCATGTTTATTTTTATCATTAGTGTTCATTTAAAAAGCATGAAGAACAATTTTTAAAAAAAATGTGTGGTCAGATTATCATTTGATTGATAAACATTCTATGAAAGGATTAGATTTTCATAAAACT